AAAATGATTATACATTAATCGATTAATTAAAAATTTTTTTATGTTAATGCAAACTAAAATTATGAAAAAAAAAATATTTAAATACTGAACCATATTATTTTATAACATGTCTATTATAATTTTTCCAAAAATATATTTGTGAAGATCTAATACAAAGTAAAAAAAAAAATATATAGTTTAAAAATATAATTAGTTAAAATATAATTATAAATTAAAAAACATAAGGTTATAAAAATTTATTTTTCTAAAAAGACAGAGCAGATATTGAATGTTTTTTCTGAAATTTGAGATTTTGGTGATGAAATGTCAAAGGTTCTTCTTGTTTTCTTTTTTCCTCTCTTTTCTCGCAACACACGAGCAGTGAAAAGTGAGAGATTCCATGCGAATTGTCGTAGATGTTACGTGCGTTTAACGGTTTCGTACGGCACTGTATACGGCGAGCTCTTGCCGCATGTAGTACGTACTTATGTAGAGGTAATGATGTGCAATGCGTGCTGCACATAGACAGGAGCAGACATTTCAACGACGTATATACCAGCAAGGAGGATACCGTAAAGAGGCGCGCGCGATTAACTTTTCAGTGTGCCGGACCGCATCCGACTACGTGGCGTTGCCGCGTTGCGGCTCGGCCTGTGTATTCGCCGTGTGCATCGCGGATTACTTATACACATATCACTCCGTAGCATTTAGCTTCGCCAGTTATATTTTATACTTCATGAAAAACGCAGAAATATATATATATATATTTCTACATCATAATCTTTATCCTATTTAAAAGGTACTAACTGGAAAATGAGTAAGAAGAAAGTTTGATGTTTCAAGAGAACACTCTGTTCCAGAAAATTGGTCCAGATTTATTGTTAAAAATTCAAACGCCCAAATAAGCTTTCATTTGATAATTGTTGATTTTACAATTCCGATTTTAAATAGAATGATTTGATTTGGGCTAATTTCGTAGTCTCAATAAGAAGAATAAATAAATTCGAAATTCTTTCAACAAAAGAAAAAATAGGTTAAATATTTCAGTTTTGTTTGCTTTTGAAGCGTTACGAATTTTGTATTCTGTATACGTGCTGGTGTGTTTAACTGTAATAGTTTTCCAAAAATTTTATTTAGCTTATTGGAAACACGTATATATAAATAATTTAATTTTTTACTTTTCAAGATGGTATGTTCCTTTAATATGACATAAAATATATTTTGACAATATAGTATAATACGGATAATTATAATGTATAAAATATAACTTTTTTGTGTAATAATTGAACATTATCTTGATACATGAAATGTTGTCAAAATTCTCGTGATTTACTATGAAAAATGATAAATTCTAGGTTGCAACATCGTGTTTTTGGAGCGCAGCCTTTTTACTTACTTTTAACTCTGTTGTTGTTACATGCATAAGTATATACGAGCGATACACGAAAGTATGTGCATCAAGTGCCTCGAGGCGAGAAGATATGCTCTAGAAGGTTACAAGAGTTCTTGATGTGTGTATGTATATGTTCGGAGCATAAAGAAAACTAATTAGTTAGGTACTGAAAAAAAGAAGGAACGGATGCCGACTAAGTTCCCGTATAATGATTAGAAATGGTGGCAAGAGAAAAACATAGACTCTTTTAAAACATTTACCTTCAGATTATTTATCCTCTCTCTCTTTCTCTTTGTAATTTATGATTTGTCAAATATTTTGTACTAATATAATTGCAAAAGATAGATTTAAGATATTGAATATCTTTTTGTTTTTGAAATTGAAATATGTATTGAATCTTCTTTCTAAAAAATACGTAGAAAGAGCGAAGTTAGTAATGAAAAGGTTGAAAAGTTAAAAATCCTAATATTAATAATTTTATATCAAATTGATCTCGACAGTAGCTGTGAAAATTTAACGATTTTAAAAAAAAGAGATAATGAAGATAATAATAACATTTTACATGTAATTTTTTTAATAATAAATTATTGTTATATTAAAATTATATTTTTTTAAATTGTTTTAATAGCTATCGAGATAAAATTGATAATACAATTGTAATTAAGATTCTGCCAAATTTAAGAAAATATACAAACATGTTATAAGTTTTTCATGTTATAAATTTTTAAGACCATGTTTACAAAAATATTTATCGAAACTAAAACAAAACTTTTATTTATTTTACATTAATTGATTTTAATTAATTTCTGCATATACATTCTCTCTTTTCCAATAACGACGGATCGTTTCGCAAGAAAAAAAAGAACCGATTACTGAACAATTTTAATTGTCGAGAAAAATAGCACAGGAATGCGATTAATTCTTGTCGTAAAGCCGAATACGTCATAGTCGCATAACTCACGTATGAATGTATATTAGTGCATTTTCCATCGACGAAGATATGCGGGGTGATCGATCTCTCGCGTCAATTTCGCAAATTCCAGCGCGCTACGGCGCGGAAAGGAAGGGATGAAGGTAGGAAAAGCGGGCGGGTGAGAGCGCAAGAGAGAAGGAACCTGCGAGTTAGGCAGGAGAGGAGAAAGAGAAGGAAGAAGAGAGAGAGAGAGAGAAAGAGACATAGAGGCAACAGATAGGAGCAGCACATACCTGCAATCTACCTGTATACTTACTTCTCGACGCGTGACTCCAGTTGCCGATCGAACGCTCGACAGATCGGTCTCGCGATAGATCATCGCGACTGCTTCGTCGCGAATCGACGTGCGAGAGGCGAAAGGAGCGCGAATCGCACGCGTGTGAACGTTTTCTAATTAATTTTATATTTGCGATTCAGTGTAATCGATGGACCATGTGAGGGATAAACGGTGATAACGCACGATGTGTTAATTCGCGATCATTCGCGAGAATCGTGGACCTTTAACTGAGAAAACGCGAACGTGTATAAAGGTCTTGTCACGTACATATGGCTAAGATGTATTTATGTTTATCTTTGTGTGATTTTTCGATATTATAATTATCCAATTGTATGAATTCGCGATTTACAATGAATGGATCGATTACGATTGCCCGCAAAAAGAAGAAAGTATTACAGAGCAGGAATTGGAGCCGATAGAATGTCGGTGAGTTTGAGTACCATTCGAAAATTATTATGTTTTATATTGTAGTTTATATTCTTTTTATGATTATTCTGTAAACAGTTAAATGCAATAGTTGACTCGAAAAACCGCAAATAATTTTTTTATATTGCAGGGATATGTTTATAT